CAGTCAATCCTGACATCAAGTGAATACATGTACATGTAGTACATTTTGAAATTTGTTTTTACATTGCAATTATTTATTTATTTATTTACTTTTTTAATATTGATCTTAAACCCACTACTATTCTAAGACCATATGAAGTATTTATTGTCTATATAATACATTTATTATTATTATATTATAATTATTTTTTTTAATTTTTGTTAGGAGAGAAGATGTTTGGTAATGGAAGAGCAAGGTCGGGGGTAATAGTACTACCTTGTGGTGAGTGAAGAGACATCGTACATCTTCATGTACATGTTACTTGTACAATGTACATGTTTATTATAATTTTATGTTATATTATATATTATATGTGTTTATAAATTATAATTTTCCTAATGGACACTCTCTATAGCGTACACCTTCATTTAACGGACAGCACCTAGTGTACCAATTACATTCCTTACTGTATAAAATAACCTCCACATAAAGGACACCTCTGTATAACAGAGACACTTTCTTGTACCGAAGTGTCCATTATATAGAGGCTAGTCTGTACATGTATTTATTATCACTCTTCCTCTCTCTCCCCTTTAGCTGTGGCAGTAGAACAGTGGTGGTCTCAGTTCAAGTTATGGTCCAATATTGATATGAGTGTGGTCTGTAGGTTCACATCTGATGCTAAAGACAAACCATCACGTAAGACATTTGACATAATGACATTAAATGATCTCTGAATGTAATCTTTGTTAATGTACAAATGTAATCAATGTACAAATGTCATGTACATGTTCATCGCAGAAAATCACAATCTATTCTTTCAGTATTATAATAAAAGTCCTTTCCAACTAGTTGCTGTAGTAAAGCTAAAAGCCAGTATTCATTATGTACTATCATAACTTTCTTTAGTCACAAGATCTTTGAATATATTTAAAGTATCGCCCACTTTTTGTGACTAGCTGACCTTCTTTAGTCTTTCTCTCCTCCTTCCACCTTCTTCATTTTGTTTTGTTGTTTCATCTGGTCATTAAGACTCTCATCACTCATTCATTAGCTAGCTTGCCTATTTCTAAACTTTTATTTTCATTCTCGTTTATTCCAACTTGGTTTGTTCTTGCTCTATCTTCATTTACCGTCTTCTGTAACTTCATTTTTTTGTTCTTGCTTTACGTATACCGTTTTATCCTTTTCTTAAAATGGCAACCAAACCATCTTCATCTTTTTCTCCTGGTCTCCTCAAACTGAAGGAACAGCTCACCTGTCCTGTGTGTCTTGACCACTATACCAACCCTAAGACTTTACCTTGTCTACATTCATTCTGTGAGCACTGTCTGGAGGGATTACCTCTGGATAAGAAGAATGAGACCTATTACCTCTCTTGTCCCACTTGTCGTCATTGTACAGAGTTACCAGAAGAAGGAGCAGGAGCCTTTCCTGTAGCATTCACTCTCAATAACTTTAAAGAGATACACAGTGCGATGGAGAAGACAGCAGTTTTACCT